GGGGGGGGGGGGGGGGGGGGGGATGTCTGCGGGTCATGCGTGCGAGGATGATGAATTGGTCCGCGACCCTTTCTCCTGCTTCCCCTGGTGCTCCCGAGTGCTGATCCCATCAGCAAAGGCAGTGCTCGATGCAGATGCTCCTCTGGCAAGTTGGATTTTTCCTCTCCCGGAGTCAGGCAAAAGGAATGATTGTGCTTTAGCCGCGCACCAACACTCCAAGCAGTGGCACGCTCGAGTGAGCCGGTGGGGAGGGGGACGCCGGAGCGATGCCGGCAGGGACAGAGGAGGGGATACACGTGGGGGGCTGGTTTTTGGGAATATGAGGAACTAAAGCTCAAGTTGCCCAGACTTTTTCCCTGCTTTGATAATGCAGAGGAAAAACGTTTGCAGGGCTGGGAATGCCGAAGGGGACTGGCAAGGAGCACTGCAGACTGGATCACCTTAGATGAAATCGGGGAGCTTTCTCCCCTGTTGATCCGTAATCCCGCTACCGCGCGGCTCCTGCTTTTTTTAAGGCACGCTGGACAGCGTGGAGCTGACTCCCATTATCTGACCAGAGCCAGAATTAACTTCCTGGGATCTGTGGAGTAGCCTCCACGAGAGTGTCTTTTTGCATTCCCACTACAGCTGTTGCAAATGCCGTTAAAATGAATCTGGAATGCGGTGATGGGACCAAGACTGGAATGTGCTGGTTTGGCCGCCTTTGCCTGCGGCGAAACCACTCCGTGCTGGGAAGAGGTTTGTGCGTGGGGATGGAGGAGGAGGACCTGGGGTGGTGTAAGTTCGGAGTGGAATGCTCCGAGCCTGGTTTCCTGCAGGATACGCGGGCACGGAGCGTAATGGGGATCGTACGTTACGTAGGGGCTGTCGTGGGTGTTGCTCAGCAGCTGGAATGAAATCATAGAGAATAGAGAGGGGGCAGGTTGGAGTAGTACAGAAATCCTCCTCCTGAATCCCTTAGGGAAATCTGGGTTTGGAGTCGAGGGATAACAACAGTTCTTGAAAGGGGCTTCTTCTGAATATCGGGAAGACTTGCCAATAAGATGATGAATAAGTAACATTTTGTGGCAGAAGTATAAATACGCATCAGGATCTTATTTTAGCAAGGTTGTCTCTTCATTTTGTCAGGATTGTGGGAGAAGGAGCTTGTTTTGGAGCAGTCTGGATGGGGGCTTTGTCTGCTGTTTTTGTTCTCTGCAGAGGGTGAATCGTGACCAGGCAGGAGGGCTGAGGGGGCAGTGTGAGTACTGAGGGGGGGGCTTAATGATATTCCTGGTTTTTTATGGTTTTTTCTTGCTCAGCTGAGAACTGAAGGCCGTGTTAACACTGCCTGCCTGTAGTGGCTGTTGGAAAAATAGTATACATTGTAAAAATGTGTGTGTGTGTGTATACATATGTACATATATGATTATATTTTTAATTCCTGCTTGAAGTAGTCTGATCCCAAATGGATTCCAGGATTCTGATCTCAAATGCCATTCCCACCGATAAGGCTCAGCTCCTGGGGTTTTTACCTCCATAAATCTACAGTTTTCACCTCTCATCTCAAATCTTAGATTCTCCTGAGGATTTGAACACTTCATCCAGACTACCCAGACAGTGAAAGATGCCAGTTGGGCCACATTATGCTCCGTATAGAGCTGCTGCTCTGCAAGCTGCAAAGGGCTGTTCCATGAGGGAATGCTGTGGTTTTGCTGGGAATAGGCTGAAGGAAGGTCTGGAGTCAAGGCTTGCCAGGGCTTCTGCTTTCACTGGTGCTGTTCAGCTGTGTAAATCTGGGAGGAACAGTTGTGGCTTGAAGCTTTTGTATCTTCAACAGTTGCACAGGTTGTGTGAATGACAGGAGTGAACTTCCCTGTCTGATGTACCTTTCCTTAACCCCTGTCAGAAGTGGGTCACTGGGTCAGGGATGCTGTCCTGGAATACAGGGTTTATGGAGTCCGATCCCTTGCGTTGCACTGTGCTATTAGAGCAAACCTTATTGGATTCCATTGGATTAAGGGGATGTGGAGCTCGAGCTAAAATGAATGCTGACCAGCTGGAAATCACTCTGTGTCTGTTAAATTGTCAGTAGTGGGGAGTTTCGTGACTCCAATGTACTATATTTGCGGGTTTGTTATTAAAACAGATTCGAATACGTATCTGGGAGTAAAACATTCCATAAAAACCCCCCTAAGCAGATCACAACAACCTTTGTCACTGTTATGACATCAAAACACTTTGTGTATGTGCCTGACTAAAGGAAAAAAAAAATCCTAAAATTTAGGCGGAGAGTTGACATCT